TCACAAGATACACTGTAAATTGAATTGACTGTATATTTTGTGGGTGAAATGTAGCAGCCAATGTTGAAGTTGTCTGTTCATGGGATTCCAGCCTTACTGAACAACAAAATTACATTTGTAAAGCGCCTTTCACATCGGAAGGACATCCCAAGGTGGTGAACAGTCAGGGATCAGGACCCGAGGAGACACACACACACAGTGAAGGCTGGAAAGGCTTGGTGAGCAGGAAGCTGTGGGCATCACATGACACTAAACTCGGTGGGAGAGTAAGCTCTGAGGATGATGCAAAAAGATTGCAATGGGATATAGATAGGCTTGGGGGGTGGGCGAGTAGGTGGCAGATGGAATTTAATGTGGGGAAGTGTAAAGTTATTCACCGAGGTAGAAAAAATAGAAAACAGATTATTTTCTAGAGAGGGAGAGATTAGATAGTGTTAGTGTTCAGAGAGATTTGGGTGTCCGTGTACACCAGTCTCAAAAAGTTAGTTTGCAGTGCAGCAGCAACTAAGAAGGCGAACGGCAGTTACCGTTCATTGCAAAAGGTTTAGAGTACAAGAGTAGGGAAGTCTTGCTGCTACTGTATAGGGCTTTGGTGAGACCGCACTGAGAGTATTGTGTGTAGTTTTGGTTTCCTTATTTAAAAAAGGACATACTTGCCCTCGAGGGGGTGCAGCGTAGATTCACTCGGTTAGTTCCTGGGATAAGGGGACTGACCTATGAGGATAGGCTGAATAAACTGGGGCTGTATTCTCTATAATAATAATAATAATAATAATAATAATAATCCTTGCATTTGATATAGCGCTTTTCACGTCGGGAGGACGTCCCAAAGCGCTTCACAGAACACACTGTAAAGTGAATTAACTGTATATTTGTGGGCGAACGCGGCAGCCAATTGCGCACAGCAATGTCCCACAAACAGTCGTAGATTGAAAATGACCAATTTAATTATTGTTTTTGGTTTTTTGGAGGGATTATTATTAGGCTCTGTGTGGAGTAAGGAAACTTGCCCGAGGTTTCGCCCTCTGACTGGAATTGAACTCAGGTCTCTCACTTGCAAAGCGAGTGCTCTAACCACTGAGCTACAGGACTCCACACTATAGAGTACAGAAGAATTAGGGGGATCTTATTGAAACATATAAGATTCTTAAAGGGCTGATAAAGTAGACACTGAGGGTCTGTTTCCCCGGTGGGAGAATCTATAACCAGGGGTCACAGTCTGAAAATTAAGGGTCAGCCTTTTAGAACAGAGTTGAGGAAACAGTTCTTCACTCAGAGGGTAGTGAATTTATGGAATTCACTCCCCCAGAAGGCTGTAGATGCTCCGTCCTTGAACATCTTCTGATAGATAGATTTTTTAAAAAATAGAGGGATTGGGGGATATGGGGACAGGGCAAGTAATTAGAGTTAGGTCTGAAGATCAGCCATGATCTTATCGAATGGCGGGGCACAGGCTCGAGGGGCCGAATGGCCTACTCCTGCTCTTAATTCTTATGTTCTTATGTTCTTGCGGCTTGGGACGTCCTCCCGACGTGAAAGGCACTCTATAAATGGAATCTTGTTGTCGTTGTTGTTGTTGTTCTTATCACATGAGGTTGCTCAGGTTGGCGTTGGTGATAGGACAGTTGGTTTGGTGGCAGGAGACACACATTCTGGACTGGGTAGGTTTGAATTCCGCATTCCCGGAGCCCACTAAACTGGAGATTTACTGTACAGCAAATAGTGAAGCTTTGCTGCATGTTTCCATTGTTGTCAGTCTTCCCTCTAAAGGACTCTCCAAATCATACACATTACTCCAACTGTGGACCAATGGACAATTTAGGCCTTCTCCTGTTCCTATAATCTGCAGTTTTTGGAGGGAAGAGTTGGGTAGTGAAGCATGCAGGGAGTTAGCATAGTCAAGCCTGGAGATAATGAAAGCATGGATGAGGGTCTCGGCAGCCTGAGGGGAGACATAATGGCGGTGCTGGGCAATGTTGCAGAGATGGGAGAAGGTAGAACAGGTCATGCCACGAATGTGGGATTTAAATGACAAATGAGAGTTGAACAAGATACTAACGTACTGGCTCAGTGAGGTAGAGAGTGGATCCAGTGATGCTCTCAGTGCCTGTGAGGTGAGGAGGCGCTGATGGGAGCCAAGCAGGAAGGCCTCGGTTTTGTCGACATTCAACTGGAGAAAAATTGTCTCTCATCCACCAAGAACAAGAATCTTCTGATCCCACATCCACTGCTCAACAAACAAACAAAGGAGTTCACCAAACATAGGATATCAACAAGCACAGACAGAACAGCCAACTAATGCAGTCGCCTACTAAAATACACAATCACTACACTTTACAGTAAAATCCTTTGAAATGTGCATTCAAAGTGAAAAGCGCTATATCAAATGCAAATATTATTATTCATCAGTTGTTCTCTCAGTATCTGCGGACTATATAACATAACATAACATGTAGGAGCAGGAATAGGCCATTCGGCCCTTGGAGCCTGCCCCGCCATTCAATCATGGCTGATCTTCTAATCTAACTCCAGCTAATAACCTGACGCTGCCTTATCCCCATATCCCTTAATCCCTTTTGCAATAAGAAATCTATCTATCTCAGTCTTGAATATGTTCAAGGACTGAGCGTCAACAACCCTTTGGTGCAGTGAGTTCCATACATTCACCTCTTTTTGAGTGAAGAAGTTCTTCCTCAAATCAGTGCGAAAGGGCTGCCTCTGATTTTAAGGTTGTGACCCCTAGTTTTAGTTTCTCCAACCGGGGGAAGCAATCTCCCACTATCTACTCTATCATACCCTTTGATGATCTTATAGGTTTCTATAAGATCCCGTCTAATTCTCCTATATTCCAGAGAATATAGGTCCAAATTGGTCAGCCTATCCTTGCAACTCATCCCCTTCATCCCTGTTACTAACCGAGTAAATCTACGCTGCACCCCCTCCAAGGCAAGTACATCCTTCCTTAAATGAGGAGACCAAAACTGCACACAGTATTCCAGGTGTGGTCTCACAGGGCCCTATACAGTTGCAGCAAGACTTCCCTACTCTTATACTCTAATCCTTTCAGAATGAATGCTAACATACCGTTCGCCTTCCTAATTGCTGCTGCACCTGCAGACTAACTTTCTGTGATTGGTGTACAAGGAACCCAGGTCCCTCTGGACGCTAACACATTCCAATCTCTTCCCTTCTAAAAAATAACCCGCTCTAATGTTTTTGCTATCGAGGTGGATGACTTCGCACTTCCCTACATTATATTTCATCTGCCACCCACCTGCCCAATCATGTAACCTATCTATGTCACGCTGCATTTTTTTTTGATGTTGTCCTCTGTGTTGACACTTCCTCCTAGTTTTGTGTCATCCGCGAATTTAGATATATTAACTTCGATGTCCTCATCTATATCGTTGATGTAGATGGTAAATAGCTGAGGCCCAAGGACTGATCCTTGTGGTACTCCACTAGTCACATCCCACCAATCTGAAAAGGACCCGTTTATCCCTACTCTTTGTTTCCTACCCGTTAACCATTCCCCAATCCACGTTAATATGCTCCCCCAATTCCATGGGCCCTTATCTTTTGGACTAACCTTTTATGCGGCACCTTATCGAATGCCTTCTGGAAGTCCAAATAGACCACATCCACTGATTCACCCTTATCTAGTTTACTGGAAATATCCTCAAAAAACTCTATGAGATTTGTCAAACATGACTTCCCTTTTGTAAAGCCATGTTGACTCGGCCTAATTATATTGTGCCCTAAATACCGCACTACCACATCCTTAATCAATGATTCTAAAATTTTTTCTATCACTGATGTGAGACTAATTGGCCTATAGTTCCCCATCTTTTCCTTTCCATCTTTTTTAAATAGTGGTGTGACATTTGCGATCTTCCAATCCATGGGGACTGTTCCAGAATCCAAAGAATTTTGGAAGATCAGACACAAGGCCTCCACTATCTCATAAGCTCCTCTTTTAAAACCCGGGGATGCAAGTCATCCGGACCGGGAGATTTGTCACTTTTTAGGGCTAACAGTTTCCCAGCACCAATTCTCTACTAATGAAAACTTCCCTAAGTTGCTCCCTGTCCTTATCCCCTCAGTGCATCTCTATTGCTGGTAGACTTCTCAGGTGAAGACAGATGCAAAGTACCCATTTAGGGACTCTGCCATATCCTTATCCCCCATTACAACTTCTCTCATCTCTGACTGAAGTGGACCTACATTTACCCTCACCAGCCTCTTAATATATTTGTAAAAACTTTTACAATCAGACTTAATGTTTCTCGCGAGCTTACCCTCACACTCCTTTTTCTCGCTCTTAATGAGATTTTTAGTTTTATTTTGTTGCTTTCTAAAATCTTCCCAATCTTCAGATTTGCTGCTTTTCTTGGCAGTTTTATAAGCCTTTTCTTTTAATTTGATGCTTTCCCTAACGGCTCTAGTTAGCCACGGGTGAATTGCTTTCCCTGTAATACTCTTATTCCGCAAGGGAATATGTGACCGCTGAGAATTTTGCACTACATCCTTAAATATTTGGCACTGTTGGTCTACATTTTTACCTATTCAAAGTAAACTGTAGGAACACGGCAGCACAAGTAGATTTGTTGAACCAACATAAGATTAAAAAAAATTAACTGAGCTGCAAATTATAATTAAGGACATAAGTTTGTGCTGAACGCATTGGGCAGAAATTCCACCTGATGTTGATTTTCTCTAATATTTAGGTTGAATTTCAGAAACACCCACAATTTAGCAAATTCTTAAATACGGACTGAATCTTGAACCCTTTTGTTTTAAAAAGCCGAACATTTAAGAGCTGCAATAAAAAAAACGCTCAAGAGTTGAGTTAGTTCAACAGTTTGTGGAACTCTAGACGTTCCTACCTGCTACATAAATAGAGTAAAGCTAGAGTTTCTCCCAGCTGTTCCTTCTCACAATTAGCACAGTGAACTCCGCACATGGTCAACTCCAGTTAGAGCAGAAGGTCAGCTACAGCTATAAATGGAACACTCTGGCCGCTTGGTTGGTGGTTGTTGGTTTGTGCCCAGGAACTTGCAACAATGATCCGCTTTGCCTTCGCTGCTCTCCTCGTGGCTTACGGTAAGTTTCCGTTCAATCAATTCAATTTGTCCACAAAATATACAGTCACTCCACTTTACTGTATATCCTGTGAAGCACTTTGAAATGTCCCGAAGATGTGATTAGGCGCTTTATCAAATGCAAGGATTATTAAGGCTTTCTCTTCCCGAGCTCCATCACTAAGACAGATTCTTATTTTAAGAACCTGTCTTAATAATAATAAATAATAATATTAATAAATAATAACAACAGCAGGAGGACGTCCCAAGGCGCTGGACAGAATCAATTTAAGGAATATTGGAGCTGAGATCAGCTGGTTCACATTAAATAGAGCCCTTTTACATCGGGAGGACATCTCAAAGCACTTAAACTATGTACTGTAAAGTGAAGCGACTGTGGACTATGTATTTTTGAAGGCGAACATGACAATTAATTTGAGGACAATAACGTCCCACAAACAGCCGTGAAGTGAATGATCAATTTTATCTGGAGGATCGCTGGCCAGGACACCTTCACTTTTTGAGAAGATCTTTAACGACAGATGGTTAAATGCCTCATCTTAAGGACAGCACCAATGAACATGCAGTTCTCCTCCCAGGATTGTGTTGGAGTGTCAGCCGAGATTGAGGAAAAGGCTGATGTGGGTTTCAAAATCACATCCTTCTACCTCCGAAGCAAGAGCACTATCAACTAGTGGAGTCCTGTAGCTCAGTGGTTAGAGCACTCGCTTTGCAAGTGAGAGACCTGAGTTCAATTCCAGGCAGAGGGCGAAACCTTGGGCAAGTTTCCTTACTCCACACAGAGCCTAATAATAATCCCTCCAAAACTAACAACAATAATAAATTGGTCATTTTCAATCTACGACTGTTTGTGGGACATTGCTGTGCGCAATTGGCTGCCGCGTTCGCCCACAAATATACAGTCAATTCACTTTACAGTGTGTTCTGTGAAGCGCTTTGGGACGTCCTCCCGACGTGAAAAGCGCTATATCAAATGCAAGGATTATTATTATTATTATAACTAAGCCAGGCTTCACACTTAACAAGATTACATTGTCACGTAGTTATACTGTCTCTACCAGAGGGAAAATAGTCTGATATTAACAGTGACACCTCGATATAGTCTGATGTTAACAGTGACACCTGTATACAACAACAAGATTACATTTGTATAGCGCCTTTCACGTCGGGAGGACATCCCAAGGCGCTGGACAGTGTACAGCATTTCAGACCCGAACTCGGGTCAGGGAGGGAGAAGGGAGGAGAGGGGAAAGGGGGTGACTGATGGCATGGTCGAAGAGGAGGGTTTTGAGGCGGGACTTGAAGGATGCTAAGGAGGGGAAGAGGTGGAGTGATTGGGGGTTGGAATTCCAGAGGTTGGGGGCAGAGTGGCTGAAGTCTCACCCACCAATGGTGGGGCGGGTGGGTCGGGGGACGTGGAGCAGCCAGAGCCGTGGAGGGAGTGGGCGGGTTGTTAGGGGTTAGGAGGTCGCAGAGGTAGGGTGGGGTGAGGCCATGGAGGGCTTTGTAGGTGAGGACCAGGATCTTGAACTGGATCCTCTGAAGGATAGGGAGCCAATGGAGAATGGGGGAGATGGGGTCACAGAGCTTGGTGCGGGAGAGGACACCGGGTGCAGAGTTCTGGATTATCTGCAGCCTGTGGAGGGAGGAGTTGGGAAGGCCGACAAGCAGGACATTTGCATAGTCGAGCCTGGAGGTGATGAAAGCATGAACAAGAGTTTCAGCGGCCTGAGGGGTGAGGTAGTGGCAGTGTCGGGCGATGTTACGGAGGTGAGGGAAGGCAGAGCGGGTCATGGCTTGAATGTGGGGGAGAAAAGACAGTTGAGGGTCGAACAAGACACCCGGGTTCCTGACTGGCAGTGAGTTGGTGAGTTGTAGTGTGCAACCATGAAGGTTGATGTTGCCGGAGCCTGAGGTGCGGAGGCACTGGCGCGAACCAATCAGGAAGGCCTCAGTCTTGTTCACATTCTACTGTAGGAAGTTTGCCCTCATCCAGGACTTGATGTTCGACAGACAGTCTGTCAGGACAGCAGTGGCCCTGGAGTTGAGGGTGGAGGCAGAAAGATAGAGTTGGGTGTCATCCGCATACATGTGGAAGTTGACCCCATGTCTGCGGATGATGTCACCAAGGGGGAACATGTAGATATTAAAGAGGAGACAAGGACAGAGCCCTGGGGGACGCCAGACGTGACAGTGCGGGGGCTGGAGGAGAAACTGTTAGAGGCAAAAGTGGAGATGGTGAGAGAGATAGGATTCGAACCAGACAAAGGCAGGTCCACGAAGATTAAGTAAAGCGGAGAGGTGGTGTATGAGGATGGAGTGGTCGACAGTGTCGAAGGCGGCAGAGAGATCGAGGAGGATAAGGAGGCAGAGGGAGCCCTGATCACAGATGTTCAGAATGTCATTAGTGACTGTGACCAGGGCCGTTTCCGTGCTGTGGGCAGAGCAGAAGCCGGATTGGAAGGGTTCAAAGAGGGAATAGCGAGAAAGAAAGGAGCGGAGCTGGAGAGGAGGGATGGGTCCAGGGAACGTTTTTTTCAGGATGGGGGTGGAAACTGAACCGGTGGATAGTAGTCCGATATTAACAGTGAGCACCTCTATATCGTAGAATCATAGAATTATAAAGCACGGATGGAAGCCATTCGGCCCATTGTGTCTGTGCCAGCTCTTTGAAAGAGCTATCCAAATTAATCCCACTCCCCCGAGCTTTCACCATAGCCCTCCAAATGTGTCCTCCCCAAATATCTATCCACTTCTCTCTTGAAAGCTGTTATCGAATCTGCTTCCACCACCCTTTCAGGCAGTGCATTCCAGATCCAAACAACTCGTTGTATGAAAACATTTCTCCTCATTTCCCCTCTGGTTCTTTTGACAACTATCTTAAATATATGTCCTCTGGTTACCGACCCACCTGCTAGTGGAAACTGTTTCTCCTTGTTTAATCTATCAAATCCCCTCATAATTTTGAACATCTCTACTAAATGTCCCCTTAACCTTCTCTGCTCCAAGGAGAACAGTCCTAGCTTCTCTAGCCTCTCCTTTGCACCCTCGCCAAGGCATTGACATCCAAGATATAAGGGTTCTTGAGGTCAGTGTTGTTTAGCAGCAGTGGGACTGAAAGTATTAGTGTAGATGGGATTGTCTGAATGACTGTCTTCAATGCTGTGATTTTCAAACCTCTTTGTTTAAGACTGAAACAGTGTTTGATGTTTCTCAGTTCACGGCTGTGGAGACCCCACCAATAAGCCTGTCCTCTCCAGGGTGGTGGGAGGCGAGGATGCTCAACCCAACAGCTGGCCATGGCAGGTAGGTCAAGATTTAAAGGTGTCAGATATTCGCTGAAGTCCTGTAGCTCAACGGTTAGAGCATTTGCCTCGTAAGCGAGAGATCTGGGTTTGATTCCCGGGCAGGGTGAAACGTTGGGCAAGTTTCTTTACTCCACACGACTCTGTTTACCTAGCAGTAAGTAGGAACCTGGTTTTTAGTTGATTGGTAGATCACTTTTCCGTGGGTAAATGGTTTGGAAGGGAAAATCTATTCCGAAAAAAATAATAATAATAATTTGGTCACTTAATCCACGACTGTTTGTGGGACACTGCTGTGTGCAATTGACCGCTGTGTTTTCTCCCACAAAATATACAGTCAATTTTCTTTACAGTATATTTTGTGAAGCGCTTTGAGGCGTCTTGGAGACATGATAAGGTGCTCTATCAAATGAAAGGATTATTATTATTATTATTATTAAGTGGTCAAGGCAGCCCTGATGGTGGAGGCGACAGAGCCGCATCTCACACACCAGAAGGTTGCTGGTTCAAATCCCGCTCCCTGCTCTCAGTTGGCACTGTATTTGGCCCTGGCCTTTTCAGGGTCAGGGAAGGGAAAACCAGCCAGGCTTCCTGCTCCTGAATCCTCAGCGGCTTCCTCTACAGGTTCGTGATGGAATCTAATGCCCTCTACAGCCGAGGAATCTGCTCGTACTCACTGTCAAGGCTCCACACAGGAACAATAGCCAATGGGTAGGACAACAGAGGCAACCAATCTCTGTGGAACCACAGCTCAGCAAGAGGTCTAACCCAGGGCAGGGAGGTGCACATCAGGTGGTAGAAACTTAGTAAAAACAATTAGACACAATAATTTTTCATAAAAAATCCTTGAAACAAACCGGGGGATGTTATAATAATAATCCTAATAATTTTACGGCTGGCTAGAGGATATTCCAACATATTGAGCAACAATGGCTTGGCACGTGAGTTGGGGGTGGGAGGAGAAAGATGACCGAAAGTCCAGTCAAGCTTACCATCTCACATTGGATCAAATGTCATGTTTTTCACCCATGTTATGTTAATAACCTTCCATGTTATTTCAAAGAAGAAAAATATATGGATTGTTTCTTGCAGATCTCTCTCCAAGTGGCTCGAGACGGCAGTTGGTTTCATACATGCGGTGGATCCTTAATTGATCAGAGATGGGTTATAACAGCAGCTCATTGCATTAGGTAAGTCCTCAGTCTGTCTCAGTCAGATACCTTGAAACCTCTACTGTAGTGGGCATCATGGGACTTCAGGTTCAGTCACTGTCAAGAGTCCAGGGAATGTGGGTGGGAGAAAATAATCTCAACAATCTCAATTCACCGATAAAAACTTAGAAACAGGAGTAGGCTATTCAGCCCCTCAAGCCTTTTCCGACATTTTATAATATCATGCCTGATCTGTATCTCAAGTCCAATTACCCGCCTTTTCCCCATATCCCTTAGTATCCTGGACCTAACAAATATTTATCTACCTCTACTTGAAAATGTAAATGGATCCAACATCCACAGCCTTTTGGGGAAAGAGAGTACCTGATTTCCACTTCCCTTTGGGTGAAAAACTTGCGGGAATGAATTCCACACCCTGAAAAGTATCTGAGGTAACAAGATCCTTCTGACCTCTCCCTCTGCTAACAATGCTGAGACTGTGCCTACTCAACACCCATTCCCCAGCTGGAGGAAATGAGTGATTCCAGGATTGTAGACACTTAGCAATGATGTGATGATTATCACCTGGGATACTCTGTCTCCAGTCATTACCAGATTAATGCACAGAGGTATCTATGTTGGAGTTAGAGTGCGCTGTACATTAAGTTGGCTTGATAGACAAAATGACCTTCTACTCTCTTGATTACTATTCTCCCTTCTGCTCACAGCTCCAAAAACATCTACAGAGTAGCCTTGGGGAAACATGTTCTCTCAGCATCCGAGGAAGGCTCCATGTTTGTTGACGTTGAGAAAACATTTACTCACGAGAAGTTCATCATAATCTTTGCTGTCAACGGGTGAGCGTCGCCAGTCATTGCGTCATTTCAATGACTCTCTTAATCCGGCCTCAACAGCGACTTGTGGAAACGTAATCCTCATCCCATGAGTTGAGTGAGGAGATTCCTTCTAGCGTTGAGGAGGCCACTCACTGTTGTTCCTTCTCTGGGCACTCCCTCTCGTACTGTTCTACCTTCCCATCACTTCCCAACATCCACACTCACCCACATTATACCCTCTCCCCTGCCCCCACTACCTCCCTCCCCACTCCCCACCATGACCTGCCAACAACAATAAAATTGGTTGTTCACTTCATGGCTGTTTGTGGGACATTGCTATGGGCAAATTGGCTGCCACATTTGCCCACATAATGCATCAGTATCACCATCACAAAAACAGCTTGCATTTACACAGAGCAGCGTCTCAGAGATGAACACACAACAACTGAGATGAGCAGCCACACAAACTCATTTCACATTGGCCACAAAGTGTGGTGGAGGGGGGGGGGCTCTGATCTTCCCTTCCTGTGCTGAAGAAAATAAGTCCTCACTGGGAGGGGGAGCTGATCTCGCTGACACTGTGAGGTGTTATGTGGGGACCAATCCGTGCTCAGGTGCATTGTCAGAGCAATGTCATCCACACAATAGATTGCAATGGACTACACAAAGGACTGCCCCCTCCCCTACACAATCCACTGTGTGCTGACACCATCTCTTTGAGTTACAGCTATGACATCGCTCTCGTAAAACTCGCTGAGCCAGTTCCGCTGACTGACAAGATCGAGTTGGGTTGCATTCCCCCTGCGGAATCCATCCTCGTCAACAATTACAGCTGTTACATCAGTGGCTGGGGGCTGCTGCAGGGTGGGTGAGCAGCACTACACTACACTTTACAATTGCCTGTGAAGCACTTTGAGATGATCTGATGATGTTTTAAGTCTTTATATCAAATGCAAGTATTATTATTGTTATTATAGCAACGTTCTACAATCAGTCGGGAAGTGAGTGACCAATTTTATTTTGGGGCGATTGTTGGCCAGGATATGCAGGAAGGGGCAGGTAAATGGGACTGAAAGGATTGCTCTTAAAAGAGTCATCATCACAGACATGATGGGTCAACTGGCCTTCTTCTGGGCTGTAAATTTCTATAGTTCTAAGGACATGGGCTCCAATATTGGGGCTTGAGCCCAAAATAATGTGGGTGTGTTTTGTTGGTTGCTTTTGTTGGATGAATTACAGTTACCCGGATCAGGGTGAAACACTTAGGCAAGTTTCCTTGCTCCACACGCCTCTGTTTACCAACAGTAAGTTAGAACCCAGTTGTTAGTCGGATCACTTTTTCAGGGGGGATAATAATCCCTTTGAAACAATATAAAAAAAAGTGGTCACAACCCACGACTGTTTGTGGGACGCTGCTGAGTGCAATTGGCTGCCGCATTTCACCCACAAAATATACAGTCACTACACTTTACGTATATTCTGTGAAGCGCTTTGAAATGTCTTTGAGATGAAGGGAGAGCCTTCAGCCACTCTGCCCCCAACCTCTGGAATTCCATCCCCCAATCACTCCGCCACGCCTCCTCCTTAGCCTCCTTCAAGTCCCAACTCAAGACCCTCATCTTCGACCATGACATCAGCCACCTCCCTTCCCCCCACTCCCTTCTTCTCCCAACCCCAGCTTGGGTCTGAATTGCTGTCTCTGTTCAATGCCTTGAGATGTTCTCCCGACATGAAAGGCGCTATACAAATGTAATCTTGTTGCTGTTGTCTTGAATGTGATTAAGCTCTATATCAAATGCAAGGATTATTATTGTTATTATTATAGCTGGAGGGTCTGTGTCTGACGTCCTACAGCAGGCTCTCCTCCCCGTAGTGGACTACCCCACATGCTCGCTTCTGACCTGGTGGGGGCCATTTGTGAAGGAGAGCATGGTGTGTGCAGGAGGCGATGGAGTGGTCTCAGGATGTAACGTGAGTTTCCTCCCACCGCCACAGCATCCAGGCCAGAGGGTGGCAGAAGGGTTGTGTGTGTATGATTGTTTGTGTGAGTGTGTGTGTTTGTGTGTGTGGAAAATGCAACATGTGATCTGATAATTAACGCATGGTCAGAAAACGTGGCTTGTAATTATACAATGCTTTACACATAGGGTCACTCCGTGTAGGGGTGGTATGCGGGGTTGAGCTGGCTTCAAGGTGACCTGATTGGCAATGGAACGTCGGAATCAAGCCCACTCTCTGTGGGCCGGATTTCTAGTCCGGTTCCTGAACCAGGGCATTGCTGATAACAGCTCATTGACAGGATTTGGAAAGGAAAATTTGCCTCTGGAGTTGAATGGGAAGAATGTGAATTCTTCCCACTCAACTCCCGTTAACCCTGCAAGCCAAAATCCTAACGGGTAAGGTGGTCCTAGCTGGACAAGCAGAGGGAAAGCTTGCCAGACAACAATATCAATGGTTTGTTTTTAGCTGGTTAGATTCCAGCAGTTGTTACGCCAACCCACACTCTGTGGTCCCCAAGCTCTTGGCTCTTGCCTCCTACTTGGCTCTGGGCAACCTGTGCACCTATTACTCTTCAGAATTAGGGAGCAGGATGGTCGCTCCAGTGAGAGAAAGCGCATTCCATTCCAGGCACAAGAATTTCCAGGTGTAAGAGGGAACACAGTTTGATTTGTTTCCACATAATCATGGTAATGGATTAGACACCCGACTGACAAAATGCCCACCCCCCAAAAAATATAGAAACAATTATCAAAGTGCTTTACAGAAAAGAGGGGCAAAGCAAGGCAGGAAATTGTGTGATGGTGGGGGGGGGGATGAGGGGAGAGGGAAAAGGAATGAGTTAATATGAGTTTGTAAGCAGTGAGGGATGGGGTCAAGTGGAGGGATTTGAGGAGAGAGTTATAGAGATTGGGGACAAAGTGGGGTAAAGTACATTAGCCAATGTTGCGGTGGGGAAGGTGTGAGTGTGGGTGGGGAGCAGAGGGAGAACAAGGCTGGGCTAAATTTACACAGAATGGGGTTCCTAATTTGAATTCTCGGCCAAACGTAGTAGCTTATCTGATTCCCTCTGATATGTGAGCAAAATCTTCCCCCACCTTTCCTAGAACATTGGCTCCACACACACCCTGCTTGCTCTCTGAAGCCATTCAATCTGAACTATCTGCTCACTGGCGCCCTTCGCAGTTCTCTCTTGGACATTATCATGTCACCCACCATGTGTGCATGTACCCTGAGGGCAAGGATTCTTCCCACTCAGCTCCTGTTAACCTGCAATCCTACTCCACCGCTTGTCCTCCCACCTCAACCTTCAAGGCACTGTCCTTGAATGGTTTAGGTCGTACCTTTCTCACCGTCTTCACTTTGTCTCAACGAATGGCTTCTCCTCCACCCCCTGTACTGTCTCATGTGGTGTCCCTCAGGGCTCTGTCCTCGGTCCCCTATGCTCCCCTCGGTGACATCATCCGCAGACATGGAGTCTACCTTTCCTCCTCTACTCTCAACTCCACGACCCCCGATGTCCTGACAGCTGCCTGTCCGACATCGAGTCCTGGACGAGAGACAACTTTCTTCAGCTCAACGTGCGAAAAACCGAGGCCCTCCTGATTGGCTCACGTCAGCGCCTCCGCACCTCAGGCGCTGACACCATCAGCATCCAAGGCTGCACTCTCCACCTCTCAAAGCCAGTCAGGAACCTCGGCGTTTTGTTCGACCCTGAGCTGTCCTTTCTCCCTCACATCCGCACTACAACTGGCACCGCCTTCCATCACCTTCGGAACATCGCCAGACTACGGCACTACCTCACCCCTCACGCGGCTGAAACTCTGGTCCACGCCTTTGTCACCTCAAGGCTGGACTATGGGAACTCTCTCCTCGCCGGCCTTCCCGCCACCTCCCTCCACAAGCTGCAGGTTATTCAGAACTCTGCAGCTCGTGTACTGTCCCGCACCAGGCTTCGGGACCACATCACTCCCACCCTCGCTCGCCTCCACTGGCTCCCCATCCCCCAGAGGATTGATTTCAAGATCCTCATCCTCACCTACAAGGCCATTCACGGCCTTGCTCCCTCCTACCTCTCCAACCTACTATCCCCCTACCTACCTGCCCGTACCCTCCGTTCCTCTGGCTCTGGTCTGCTCCACGTCCCCCGCCCCAACCGCCCTACCATCGGTGGTCGGGCCTTCAGCCTCTCAGCCCCCAGGCTCTGGAACTCCATCCCCCAGTGCCTTCGCCGCTTCCTCCCTTTCCTCCTTCAAGGCCGGTCTCAAAACCTTTCTCTTTGACCGTGCCTTCAGCTCCCCTCTCGACTCTCTTCCCCCTCCTCGCTCCCTCCCTTCCCTCCCCTCACCCTGACCATTTCCCCCCTCCTTGCTCCCTCCCTTCCCTCACCCTGACCATTTCCCCCCTGCTCGGGTCATGACCCAACTGTGCAGCGCCTTGGGACGTCCTCCTGACGTGAAAGGCGCTTTATAAATGGAATCTTGTTGTTGTTGTTGCAAGGCAAAGCCCTAGGCGGGTAGGGTGGTCCTTGCTGGACAAGCAGCAGGAAAGCTTGTGTCCTCCATGTGGTTTTAGTTGATTAAACTCCAGTAATTACACCCAAAGCACACTCTGGGCTCCCCAAGCATTGGCTCTTCCCAACCTGTGCCTAAAACTGTCTGGAATTAAGTAAGCATAACAGTCCCTCCGGGGAGAGAATGAGCATTCCATTGCATAAAATTCTCAGTCTGATTTGGAGACTGTGAAACATGGAAATGGATTTCCGTGTGTGTCAAATCCCCAGCTGTGTGTGTGTGTGTGTGTGGTTGTGTGTTTGTGTGGGGAGGGTGGGGGTGGGCAGGGGTGTGTGTGTATGTGTGAGGGGATGTGCGGTGTGTGAGGATGGGGTGATTGTGAATGGTTGTGTGAGGCAGGTATGTATCCCAGTGTAAATGATCTCCATGTTGGCAGGGTGACTCGGGGGGGCCCCTGAACTGCCAGAATGCTGAGGGAGCCTGGGAGGTTCATGGCATTGTGAGCTTCGGCTCAGCTCTCTGTAGCCACAAGAACAAACCCACTGTCTTCACCAGGGTCTCGGCCTACAACAACTGGATCAGTCAGGTACAGATTGAGTTCAAATTGGAGTTGGGGTACAGATCAGCTGTGAGTGAAATAGAATGGTGGAACAGGCTGGAGGGGCTGAATGGCCCACTCCTGTTCCTACGTTCCTAAACACCGCCCCTCCCCCACCGTCTGACCATTGTCCGAGGCCCCGCGGAACATTCCAGCACAGAAACAGACATTCTTTACCTCCCCCCACTAATGCCATTTTCTCCCACCCAATCTAATCTTACAAAAGTCGTCACCATTTCTTAAAAAGTCACTGTCCTCCCCCAAATTGAAAACAAACTGGTTTCGATGGCTAAGATACAATTTTGATCTCAGCTCCACCCCTCCAACCCTCTCTTCCCCCCTCCCTTCACCCCTCTCCCCCACCCACCTCCTTGGCTTAAAGTCACTTCCGAAGGTTAATGCCTCCGACAATGAAGAGCTCCCCCCAGCAGTGCACTGGAACTTCAGTGTGGACTTTGAGGCTCAAAGTCATCGAGTTTTGTACCTGTGTCATGACTGAGCCAGGCTGACACCTCACCAGAAAACCATCTGTCTTCCTGACCCAATATATTCCAGAAACCTTTATCTAACGGGAGTTCTCTTCTTTCACAGATAATGATGAATAATTAAGTCTACCCACTCGGAGCCTAGCTGAGGATTGTTAACACATTCCTGTAATAAATGTACTCAAATAAAAGTCCTCATCACTTTGCTCTCTGTTCAATCTGGCCCTAAATGTGTGATCAACTTGTGTCTTTTTCACACTTCTTCACCAGGTAAATGGCCTGAAACTAATGATACAACAAAAAAATTCAAACTAAAACAATGTTCTAGCTCCTAGATTTAAAAAAAAACCCGAGCCAGTGCTCAGAAGGGGGAGACGTAGTTTGAGATATTGCTCAATTCAGAAATCATAATAATAATCCTTGCATTTGATATAGCGCTTTTCACGTCGGGAGGACGTCCCAAAGCGCTTCACAGAATATACTGTAAAGTGAATTGACTGTATATTTGTGGGTGAACGCGGCAGCCAATTGCGCACAGCAATGTCCCACAAACAGTCGTAGATTGAAATTGACCAATTTATTATTGTTTGGTTTTGGAGGGATTATTATTAGGCTCTGTGTGGAGTAAGGAAACTTGCCCAAGGTTTTGCCCTCTGCCTGGAATTGAACTCAGGTCTCTCGCTTACAGAGCGAGTGCTCTAACCACTGAGCTACAGGACTCCACTGTAAAATAAAATGTAAACAGTGGGGATAATAGCCTTATAATAATATAATAATCCTTGCATTTGATATAGCGCCTTATCATATGCGCTTGGAAAGCGAGTAAACTGTAAAATAAAAGCAGTTGCGTAGATTTTAAATGATCGTTTATTAAATGAACACCAAATATACAAATCCCATGAATGCCATGCTCATAATATACAGCAGTATTAAACTGGTACATATTTAGATGTGGTGGAGAGCGAGATGTCAACCTATCCCAAAGCTAGTTTATAATCTCATGTCAGCACTTACCCTGATGGTCTCAGATACTTCACACATAATCTAAATCACTGCTTAATAATAATAGTAATCCTTGCATTTGATACGGCGCCTTATCACATCTTCGAGACTTCTCAAAGTGCTTCACAGAATATACTGTAAAGTGAATTGATTGTATATTCTTTTTGAGGAAACATGGCAGCCAATTGCACACAGCAGTGTCCCAAAAACAGTGGTGGATTGAGTAACCAATTTATAACAATAACTATCCTTGCATTTAATATAGCACTTTTCACGTCTTCCAGATGTCTCAAAGCGCTTCACAGAAGACTGTAAACTGAATTGACCGTATATTTATGGGCGAAAATGCGGTAGCCAATTGCGCACAGCAGGGTCCCACAAACAGTCTTGGATTGAAATGAAATGTTTTTTTGAGGGATTAATATCAGGCGTGTGGAGTAAGGAAACTCGCACAAAGTTTCGCCCTGCCGGGAATCGAACCCAGGTCTCCCGCTTGGAAAGCGAGTGCTCTAATCACTGAGCTACTATTATTAAGTTTAAAAACATTCTGGAGACATTCCTGTTTTGATGACAAGTGTTACTTTCGATGATATTTCTGTATAAATCTTCAAGTTCTGCGAATTGAGTTTGAGGAAAACTCCCATTTTAAGACAAAGAAAGATCCAACGAGGATCCCAAAGAAGGTTTTTGGTCAGGCAGGGTCTGACACATTCGGAAACCTATCACCCTGAGCCAGGCAGGTCCTCAGTTCTCCAGGACACCACTGATCACAGACCAGCCAGCCTGGCCTATCAGAAGAACCCTGGAAGCCAAAGCCCTAAAAGTTGGGCAGTCATGGCTGGAAGAGTTGCAGGAAAGACAGAGTTCCGTGCATCCCACTTCCACATGGAAATGGAATGCACACTCAGGAAATATGAATCCTGTTTTACCTAATTCCAACGCTTGGGGATCCAGAGTGTGCATAGCGGGTGCCTGCTGGGGTTTAAACCAGCAAAAAAAACACATCGCCTGCCATTGAAAGCACTGTCTGATGAGCTTTCCTGCTATTTTTCCAGTCATGACCACTTAATGTTAGGGCTTTGAGACGTCTCGAAGATATGATAAGGCACTATATCAAATGCAAGGATTATTATATTATTATAAGGCTATTATCCCCACTGTTTACATCTCAAGCTCTCAATCAACAGCAAATTGAGTCGAAACCAGTTATCAGAGTGTGACTGTCACTCATTTCGCCCCAACCCAGAGCAGTGAGGCCTCTGTTTAGATCAGTCTAATCAGTCTCTAGTTTCTGGTGAAATTCTGCAGCAAACTTCTCTCTATCCACTGTACTAGCAGAACATAATAGTATCAGAGGACACACAAGGAGATTAAATACCAGCTAATAATAATAATCCTTACATTTGACATTGCAACTTATCACGTTGGAAGGATTCTCAAAGTGCTCCAAGGGATTTTACTGTGAAGTGTCGTAACTGTGCATTTGTAAGCAAACAAGGCAGCCAATTTACACACAGAATTGACAGGAGCCGAGAGGGAAGCTTCCCTGCTCCTAGTGACTGCTAATTCTGCACCAATAAGTTCTGATGAGCCCGACTGGTTGGTCTGTAATCAATGGTGTCTTCTGAGTACTACAGACTTGCCTGGCTCAGGACTATTGAGACTACCACAGAGGACACATGTGATTCTGATGTTCCTTTGCCAATCATGTCACTTTGAAGAAGCTCTGCTCCAAGGAGACCCCGCTTACCTTCTTCCTAGGAGGATAATCACTGGTTGATCATTTGACATCCTTAAGCAGGAATCAGTGAACTTAAATAATGATTGTTTCCAAGGTCATGGGTTTCTTAAATAAGAAACAATGCAAAATTGGAAGCCCAACATTTGCTCAAGGACTGGGATACAGAAGAAATAAGGGTGATACCCATCATTGAGTCAGTGCCTGCCTGTTTTAGATCCTAAGATCTCCAACACAGTGAATCACAATATCTGTCCATTACCCGAAGCTGATCAGCCTCAGGACTTGGTGAAACACTTCTCTCTGCAACGTGAAGCGGTCCCAAGGCGAATAGAGTTTGAAGATCCATTTCCAAGTGATTCCATACTCTGCTGCTCTCATTAATTCTGCACAGACTAGAGCTCAAACCAGTGTATTGGCTAATCTGAGTGATGGAAATGGAACCCCATTTTAGGGCCCTCTTTTGCTGTGGGGGGTTGAGAAGATGTGGCAGACTATTCGGGTTGGATTGGATGTTGCATGTTTTAACGCTTAATTTCCGAGAGATCTCAAAGCTTCAGTGATTCTCATATGGAGCCACTTTGCGAATCTCACAAACAGCCATGAGGTGATTGACGGATTAATCAGGAGGATTGTCGGCCAGGAAACCAGGAGAAACTCCTTTCTCTTTTCCGATTAGCGCCTTTGAAGTCTGGCTGAAGAACTGGTTCCGCACAGGAGAGACACCATTGTCGAGCAACTCTCACCATGCTATGAGAGAAGCTGCGTCTGGAATGTTCCTAGACATTCACCCGCGACAATCTGTATTGTTTCTTGGCCCACGTCACCCTGTGAACATGGATATCCCGCCTCCAGCCGATGCTCTCGTCCCAGCAGTACTCGGGCGAGAGGACCCTGGTGGGTTTGTGTAACCAGAAGTACTTGTTGAGGTGGCTCTCATCATGCCATCTGGCCTCCACCTTGTTGCGTTTGTCCTGGAGGATTGCCTGGTAGCAACTCTCAGTCAAGTTTCTCACCTGCTGCCACGTCCCCCCGAAGACAGCCGCATGGTAATAGAAGTCACCGGAGTTGTCCAGGTTGGCGGCCGAGCGCGGATTGTGGTCATAGGTATAGAAGTATTGGGGTCTGCGGTAGTACCAGGCATGGAGCAACCCAACCAGCTCGCCCAGGGCCTCGGTACCAAAGCGGCCTTTAAACTGCTGGTCTACGTCGAAGCAGAAGACATAGGTGACCTGGTGCCTGATGTGCGTCTCGATGGCTCTGCTGATGGTTTCCATCCTCAGCATGGACACATCCTGCCAGCGCTCGTGCCTCTCCACCTGCAGCCCCGTGACCTCCCGATGGCCACTCAGCTCCAGCGCCTGCAGCTTGGCCAGATCATCCACAAACACATAGTAAATGACGGGGAAGCCCGGCATGAAGAACTCATCCGCTGTGGCCAGAAAGTTCTTTAAATACAGGTCCAGGTAACTGAGAGGGTGAGAGAAAGCCAGGTCACTTGCTGGAGAACAAACTTACTTTTTATAGTCGTGTCACAATATCTCCCAATTTTATCACAGCACCTAAGATATTAATACCAAGTATAGTGACTATTTTTGAAAGTAAACATGGCAGGCATTAGTAATAATAATCAACTAATAAATATCTTTGCTGTAAGGAAGATAGAAAAGATACTGTAAAGAGCAGTGACTAGGTCAAACATGGCAGCCAATTTGTGCACAGCAAAGTCCAACAAACAGCCGTGGAGTGAGTGACAACTTTATTTGGGGGATTGTTGGCCAGGACACCGGGAGAGAGAAACTCCCTTCTTATTAAATAGTGCCATGAGATCTTTAATTTCCACCTGAACAGGCAGCTGGGGCCTTTTTTTAACACTTCATCCAAAGGATGACACCTCCAACAATGTAATTCCCCCCCTACAGCTCTGCATTTCGAGGAGGGCTGGAATAGACAAAACGTTAGGTGACGAATGCAAAAAATAAGGGACTTGGCTGTGTTGGGTGTGCGGAGCAGTTGGAGATGGACAATGTGACAGAGAAAACCGTCTTCCCCTGGACATTCTTCCAAATTTAGACTGAACCAAAGAAATTTCAAACATTCTGTGCTTGAAATCCTGCGATTTTAAAATAGTGATTTTAAGACAAAGATTAGGAGGGCTCTGGGTTCAGGAATGGGTGGTAGCCTGGCCAGTTTTTTTTTAACCGTATTTTTTAATGACAGTGGAGCCTTAATAATAATAATCCTTGCAATTGATATAGCGCTTTTCACGTCTTCTAGACGTCCCAAAGCGTTTCACAGAATATACTGTACTTTACATTGACTGTATATTTGTGGGCGAACGCGGCAGCCAATTGCGTACAGCAGCGTCCCACAAACAGTCATGGATTGAAAATGACCAATTTATTATTGTTCTGTTAAGGGCAGGGGTAGGATGTGGGGTAGGAAGGACAGCTGAGGATTGAACCTCATCATCATCCACAACTTTTAATCCAGAGACAAGAGTGTTAATGACTGAGCCAAACTGCAAACACGAACTTACTTGCCAACTGCAAACACAGTGAGACCGATGATGACATTCTGCTTCCGGTATTCCTTATTGTAATATTCTGGATTGAAGGTTCCTTCCCAGATGATTGGAGCTTTCCAGTGAGTGCACGTCTGCACGTCCTTCCTGCTCCTACAACAACAACAAGCGACCTTAAAAGTGGTGGGAGCTGACTCCGAGCTGGGGGACGGGGCGAGGTGACTGTAACCACGGTTGAAAAGGAAGGTTTTCAGGCTGGACTTGAAAAAGGGGAGGTGGGGGGGCAAGGTGAAGGGATTGAAGCGGAGGGAGCTACACAAACAAAGAGACCAGACAACACATTCCTGGTTTCAAACACAGGGGCTTATGTTCACTCAGAAAGAAATGAACGGAAGAATCCTCACTCGTTCCTCTACTCTTCTCCTGAACTTTCAAACATTCTGAGCCAGAAATCTGCATTTTTAAGATTGTGTCCATGCCTTCAGCCACCATGCCCCAAAACTAATTCTCTGCCTCAATCCTTCTGCCTTGAAGTGCCCCCCCAGGGCACTGTGATGACAGCCCAGCCAGCCTGGCTTATAAGCAGGACTTGGAAGGGCAGACCAGTCACTGGGGGCAGGAAATCCTCCCACCTGTTAACCCTGCAAGCCAAAGCCCTGATGGTTGGGTGATCCTAGCTTGACAAGCAGCAGGAAAGCTAGCAGACAGTGTTATCAATGACAAAATATGCAAATTTAGCTGGTTAGACTCCAGCAGTTACCCCAATGCACACTCTGGTGTCCCCAAGCCTTGACTTTTCTGAATCTGTGCCTAATATTCTCTGAAATTTGCTAAGCAAGATGTGTCCCACCAGGGAGAGAGTGCGCATACCAGATAGCAACAATCTATCTCTGGAATTTCCAATGTGTAGGTGGGATGCACTGAATTCTTAGCACTTAAGCATGTGATGGGTTTCCTCGTGTGTAAAAAAACTGGCTGACCACCCCCCTCCGCCCCCCCCAAAAGAAAATCAGATGGTGATTTTAAGACAAAGACTAGGTTGTCGCTGGATGCAGGAATGGCAGCCTGGCTGATTTTTTAATCCATATTCCTAATTACAGTACAGCCAGTTTCAAAGGCACTAGGTGTAGGTGTAGTTCGTAGGTGTAATCGGCATTTACTTCCCCATTTGTGTTATGTGACATTTCAATTAGTGTTACAGGATCTTTAACCCCCCCCCCAATCTGAACAGACACAGACATGACCCCTGTTTTAACGTCTCATCTAAAGCACCGCACTCCTACCAATTCAGACCCCCCGCCCCAATCCTCCCCCAGCAATGCACTGAAACAGCAGCCTAGACTGTGAGCTCAAAGCCCCGATGTGCGGCTTGAACTCTCAAACATTTGCCCAAATGTAATTGTGCTACCAACCCAGCAAGTCTGTCACCCATTTACACAAAACGTAAATTCAGTTTATTTTCACTAAATATCACCTCCAACATCAAGGGCACAATATTGAGGTGAATAAGGCTATCAGAAGACAGGGGAGAGATACATACCACAAATCCAGTGAGTTATCCACATGGTTCCCAGGCTTTAAGCGAAACCCTCTGGTAAATGACATTTATTCATTGGAATCAGCCCTTCCATAATTCTGAAAAGTTATATAATAATAATAATAATCCTTGCATTTGGTATAGCTCCTTATCATATCTTCAAGACGTCTCAAAGTGCTTCACAGAATATACTGTAAAGTGAATTGAATGTATATTTTGTGGGAAAATGGCAGCCAATTGCACACATCAATGTTCCACAAACAGTCGTGGATTGAAGTTACCAATTTATTTTTTTTGTTGAATGAATTATTACCCCCAAAAAAGTGATCCGCTAATCAGCTAAATCCAGGTTCCTACTCCCTTCCAGGTAAATAGAGGCTTGTGGAGTAAGCAAACTTGCCCAACGTTTCGCCCTGCCAGGAATCAAACCCAGGTGTCTCGTTTGCTAGGCGAGTGGTCTAACCGCTGAGCTATAGGACTCCACAGGGGGATTGTTGGCCAGGACACTGGGAGAAATTCCCTTAATTTTTTCCAATAGTGCCATGGGATATTTAACATCCACCTTAACAGGTGTTAAAACTTAAAAAGATTTCAGTTTAATATCTCAAAGGTGCTCAATAAATGTAATTTCGTTGTTGTATAGATACTAATTGAGATTGACAAGTGACTCTCTCTGAACCTTACTGAGCCATTTCTCACAGTTCATTCTCTCTGGCATGATTACTCTCACTGCTATCTTCTCAGGTCAAACAAGCCCTTTCTGTCCCTGAAGGAGAGAAACTACTGACAAGGCCACAAAGAGAGAATGGTTCTTACCTGAACACGGCAGGAATCAGCATCACCACCAAGATCAATACTATTAGGGATACAAAGCACTTGCGTCTTGTCATATGCACCCTGTGTGCGAGGTCAGTAACCAGGTCAGTGAGTGTAAGCAGCGGCCATAGACAACAACAACTACCACCACCACCATAATAATCTGCATTTAATATAACGCCTTTTCACAGCTTCAAGACGTCTCAAAGCACTTCACAGGATATATGTATACTGTTAAGTAAATTGACTATACTTTGTGGGTGAAACGCAGCAGCCAATTGCGGACTGCCGTGTCCCACAAACAGTCGTGGATTGAGTGACCAATTTATTATTATTTTTTTTAATAAGGAATTATTACCCACAGAAAAGTAATCCATCAATTGACTAACAACAGAGACGTGTGGAGTAAGGAAACTTGCCCAATGTTTCGCCTTGCCCAGGAATCGAACCCAGGTCTTTTGCGAGGCGAATGCTTTAGCCACTGAGATACAGGACTCCACCATCTGCCTTCATGCAGGTTAGCGCCTCAGAGAGCTGTTGGTTAATTCTAGGTCTCCTAGGTGCAGAAGGACGCAGTGCAGACATGCTGTAACCCATTTCACTATAGCACAGCTCCATTGTAGATCCCATTCCCCCTCGGCATGATGCAGCGGGTCACTCCTGAACCCGATATTCCTGTATTTTGTTACAGAGCAATTACCCACTCCTCTGCCCCCCAAAAAGCTGAGTATTTTGTGAATATAAAAAAAAACTGCAATGGTCTCTATGAATATGAAGAGAACACTTGCTATTACGTAGCAATATTTATATAGCAAGGCGTTATACCCCTTAACAGTCTTAAGATATCTACCAAAAGAAGCAGAGGGGAGGTTAGAAGAAATGTTTTCACTCAGCGAGTTGTTGGAATTTGGAATGATCCGACCGCAAGGGCAGTGAAGTCCGATTCGATAACAGCTTTTAAGAGAGAACTGGACAGGTATCTCGGGAGGACGGGTTTGTGGGGTTATGGGGAGAAAGCTGGTGATTGGGTTAGTGAAAGTGACGCTCTGTCAAAGAGCCGCACAGACTCGATGGGCCGAATGGCCTCCTTCTGTGCCGTAACATTCTATGAATCTATGAATAATCTATGAACATCCTGACCAAACAATCTAAGTCTTCAACTCCACACAAGTTTCCACCATACCCATTACTCCCTCCCATACCGTCCTAATCCCCTCGCCCTCATGTGTGGATCTAACTTTCCTCTAATAATAACAATAATAATAATCCTGGCATTTGATACAGCGCCTTATCACGTCTTCAAGACATCTCAAAGCGCTTCACAGGATATACTGTAAAGTGAATTGACTACGTCTTTCCTGGATATCAGCCTGGCTCAATCACTTTCACCTCGAAGTCAGAAGGTTGTGGATTCAAAGCCCCATATAGGGACTTTGAGTTTATAGTCGAGGCTGAAACTCCAGCGCTGTGTTGCTTTCCTTAGGATAAGACATTAATTTGAAGTACTGCCTGTGTAGGTGGATGTTAAAAGATCCAATGTCACTACTTAAATAGAATTTTGAAGGGAGTTTCTCCAGGCCAAAAATATCCCAGACCAAGTGAGTTATTCATTTTGTGAATGTCTTTGGGACATTGCTGTATGTAAATTAGTGGTGCGTCACCCAAAAAATACAGTTGCTACCTTTACAATAAAGAATGAGTGGTAAACTTATGGAACAGGCTCCCTAAGAAGACAGCGGAAGCAGTAAGTGTTGTTTGTTTCAAGAACAAATTAGATAGATTTCTGCTAGAAAATAATATCTGGGGATGCAATGTGTAGTTTGGGATATATGTCAAGCGACTGCCAGGATGGTGGAAGGCGAACTGGATGGACCTTGGTCTTCTTTCGCCAGCAAACGCTTATATTTTAATGAGAGGCTTCTTCACAAACGGTGGTCACTGGATATCAAGGGCAAGACATGGATTCTGAATTGGCTGAAGGGAAGAAAGCAGAAGGTCTTTGTTAGGGGAACCAGATCACAATGGGGGAAGGTATTAAGCGGCTGCTTCAGCGGTCTATACTTGGCCCTCTCCTGTTTCCTGTTCCTTGTTTATATTAATGAGCTGGATTCACAGAAACAGTGCAAGATACCTACATTTACAGACAACATTAAATTAGGAGGAACGGTGCAATCAGAGAAGACAGCAAAGGTCCTACAAAGAGAGCCTGATATGATTATGGGTCGTCTATAGGGTTGCCATAGGCTAGTGACTGGCAAATGAGATTTTATATGGATAAATTCCAGGTATCACATTTACGATGCAAGAATAGGAAACACAATATGGATGGGACAGAACTTGCCAAGGGGAGAGCTGAAAGAGACCTAGGTGTGTTGGTTGACTCATCATGTCAAAAACAGCGGGGATGAATTAACTAACAGGTAACCAGGTAAGACGTACCTTAAGGCCCCGAGTTTTTTTACTCTGTAAAGAAATATTTTGTGGCAGGACTTAGGGCCCTGAGGCCTGAGGGGCCCCAAATGTGATTGACCCCATTACCTCCCGGATGCCCCTCTCTTCTCATCGCTCTCACTCTGGTTTAGAGCCCCCGCCAATCCCTTAATCTGGCCCTGCTTTGTGATGTTGTTTTAACCTAATAGCAGCGCTTCCTTAAGTAACTCACTGGAGTCTCAGCCTGAGATTGTGAGGCCTGTAGCTCAGTGGTTAGAGCACCTGGGTTCGATTCCCGGCAAGGAGAAATGTTAGGCAGGTTAGGCAAAGCACTATATCAAGTGCAAGGATTATTAAAAAGTTTTATAGCTTCACACAGCAGTCAGTGGGTAGAACATGTTCCCCATACCCTCAGACTATCTATCTTGCCTCGCAAATTCATCCAGCCGAAGCTTATCCAGGGCTCTGATTTTATTTATGTTTCCAAGTCTGGAATATGGATGCAGTTAGCTGGAGCAGACTTCGCTCATTTTACTTAATGATTCACAGCCACACTTTTTAAAACTGCTTTTTTTATATAAAAAGTGCAACAACTTGAATTTGTACAGTGCCTTTTATATAGGATGAACATGATTGTATCAGCCTGGCTCAGTAGTTAGCACTCTCGCCTCTGAGTCAGCAACCTCACATCAGGATTTTGAGCTCATATAGTCTAAGCTGACACTCCAATGTGTTGCTTGAGGTATGCTATACTGTCGGAGGTGCTGTCCTTCGGATGACATATTAAAACGAGGTCCCAGCTGCCTGTTGCAAGTGAATGTGAAAGATAACTATTCCTAAAGAGAAGGGAGTTTTTCTCTCTCTTGCTTTCTCTCTCCGGTGTCCTGGCCAACAATCCCCCAAATAAAATTGGTCGCTCATTCCATGGATGTTTGTGGGACACTGCTGTGCGCAACTGGCTCCTGCTGTGCCCACAAAACACAGTCACTCCAGCATCCGATACATCCTGTGAAGCGCTTTAGGACATCCTTCCCAGGTAAAGGCCATTTACGAAATGCAAGGATTATTATTAATTATTATTATCATCAACAACTCAAAGCAGTTCAAAAATGTTACTTTACACATTCCCAGAGGCATAGAATTACAGCCCTCTGAAGCCAGAGGGAAGGAAAAAAGTTTTCCTTTTTATCAGTAAACTGAAATAAAGTGTTTGCTGCGGGGAAGAAGAAAGTGTTAATTGACTCACGAGTCTGGAGCGTGCTAACAGATCAACAACAACAAACTGCATTTATATAGCGCCTCTCATGCGGGGTAGCGTCCCAGAGCGCTTTACAGTGTTGGAGTCTGACCAGATCACAGACAAGATAGGTCTGTGATGAAGAAGGCCCTTAGGCTATCCGACCAGAACACTCACTCTCCCTATCCCTCCCATTCCAGCATCAAGCTGCTTTGCAAACCAGTCTAGTGTTGTGGCCTCTGAACACCTTTTCTGACAATCTGTTCCATGGGAGGTTATACTATACTGCCCCACAGAAACCCTTAAGTTTCACCTAAAGAACTGTGTCAAATATACATTGAGAGGTTTTTTTTTGGTCAACAAGGTGTCTGACACATGCGGAAACCCATCACCGTCCTATCCCTATCCCTAAAACCAACCACCTGCTTCCTATCCCTAAAACCAACCACCTGCTCCTATCCCTAAAACCCACCACCTGCTCCCTTGACCCCATCCCCACTCCACTCCTTATCTCCCAGCTCCACTTTCTTGCCCCACATATCACTGACATCATCAACCTGTCCCTCTCCTCTGGCTCTGTCCCCATTCCATTAAAAACTGCCATCATCACG